GCTCAGAGAAAGAGCGTGACGATGGCCGATGATGCCATCAGGAGGAGGATGCTGGAGGCGGCGTGTGTGGCTCCGGTGAACAAGTCAGTGGAGCTGGAGGCGGCGGGTGTGGCTCCGTTGCACAAGTCAGTGGAGCAGCAGGTTGTCGGTGCAACACATGCTGCACTGTTCGAGCAGGTCTTGGTGACAAGAGCTGATGGAAAGCAACTCAGTTTCAACAACAATGAAAGCCACCAGGCGTTCAGCACAGCAACATGTTGGATCGATAATGAGTTTAAGATGTTGAACATCAGCTGTGGAAGAACCACTCACCATTATGCCTGATGCTGCTACAACGATCCAATCCGGGGGAACAAGTGACGTTGTTGCAGCCTTTGCCATCACATGAGTAGCAGGTCAGTCCACATGCTGTACAGGAAAGACACAATAAACACACAACAGTTTTAAACATACTCCAAGTATAATGCTCGTTGTTCTGTGAATTGTTTTTATGAAATATTGCTGAAAACGATTCCAACAGCAGAACGAGCAGAGGAAGTTGGAAGTAAATCCACAATAACAAAAAAAAAGAAAAAAATATTACACGCTAAGGCACGTGACTTTTAAACTTTTCTTACCCGCAGACACAGTCACAAACAGGATCAGCGCTCCATAAAAATGCATCCTGAACAGACGGGAAGAACCGATGTTTAATCAACTGCGCACTTGGAGAAAAGATGTCCACTCTGCCAAAGCTCCCCCTTTATAGTCCAACCCACCAGTCGCCTCTAAACCTAGTTGTGCTTCTTCAGAAAGCCTCCTCCCATCAGCCTGAGCGAGTTGATACATTCATCATGACTCAAAGTGAAAGGAAAATCTCCAGGTTTGAGGAATCAAGCTGTAAATGCTGCAGTGGTTCAATGCAAAGAAAAGGATTGAATGTTCACATGAATTTTTCAGCTAATGTTCAAAGGAAGTTATTGTCTCTCTGTACTGGATCTAGTTTCACAAAACCTTTCAGAAAGCGGTGACGGTCCTACATTCAAGATTTCCCTCTAAGGTGAAATAAACAAAAAACTATATTATGAGCAAGATGCATGTGTTAGTCAAATTATTATTGATAAAATACTAAACACATCCAATAAAGTGACATTTTAGTCACTATTAAATGTACACTATGTGTTAAATTCCACATTTTCTGAATAAAGATAATGTTTTTAACCCCACCCCTTTCTTTTTACAACCAACACTTGAAATGATGAAGCCATTTGCAAATGACACAATAGTAGAAAATGTAGTTTAGTGTTTCCTTTTTCTCTGCAGCAACTGCTTTACTGCCGTTCCAATGATCCAGACTTCCCCATTTCCTGCACTACTCTTGCAGTCTTTTTACTTGCCCCTTTCCCACCACCCCCTCTGGCCTGGTGCTCCCCTTTGCATCTGTCTCAGCTTCCCAGGCCTCTGTTTCTGCCTGACCTTATTTTCAAGCTCCAGTTTCAATCTCATTCACTGTCAGAACCTCATCAATGCAGAGAAACAGTCGCTAGTTCTGGAGATTGTGGTGGAAGATTTTGCACAGACAATCGTTAAGTAAGAAACAAAGGCTCTGAGTCAAGTATGTCTTTTCTCCGTTTATTTCCTTGCAAGGGAAAAAGGGTCACAACAGCTACGTGGTCAGTAGACTGTCAAGAACCTCCTTTTCTTCCCAACACATCGAGGCAGTTCTTATACCTAAACTTAGATATCGGTGGCGTCAACAGAGACCGTTAACCATCTTGTTGAGTCTCTACAGCCAGGGTACTGGGAATACCTTGTCCATGTGAGACACATCAGTTCTTTGACCGTGTCCTTGCTCTCCCAACATTCAAAAACAAAGGTGGTCATAGACATAACAAACACTTTGTTCAATCTCTACAGCTATGACGCTGGAAACATCTAATCCAAGTGGGAGACATCAGTTCTTATGTCAGGGCCTTTGTGACCTAAGCACTTGCAACTAATAAACTGGTTATACAAATGAAGCATTTAAAAGGGTCACATATCATTTTCCCATTACAAGATCTTTAAACTTATGGTCACTGCAACCGTCTGTGTAGGGAAGAAATACATCTTAGTTCTTATTTTATATTTGGTTCATAGTGCCTTTGTGGATTCTTTCCCTTTGTGCTTTTCAGTAACCTCTGTCTCGGGAAATACGGGAAATAATGTACTTTGATAAACAAACCTATTAGTGAAAACTCTTGGTGTTGTGTGAAGAGAACCCAGACAGATCTGATTTTACCTTGTGTTAGAGGCCTGTATGGAAACCCACTGCTGAACCCCCAAAGAGTACACATGCTCATCATGTCAAGGTCCTCTGTTCTTCCTGAGAAGCTTTGACCAAAACCTGCCCTTTGTTTAACTGTTGTTTCCTGTAAATGTTCATGGCCAGAAGGCACTCTGATCACTGAGAGTTCTACAGCCTCGCTGTGAACTTCAGTCATGCGCAGTGAATGAAACTTACCTGAAGCAGACACAGAATTTGACTTCCTCCGCCTTGAGTTCAGTGGTTAATTCTTTATACGTATCACTGACAGCAGACCTTACACAAGTTAACAAACTATCATGTAAATGGTACACTACAGATGATGTAACATACCAAGTGAAAGGCGCATAGTTGGTCAAACATTTGATTTTAGTTCGTCCATAAGATCTTAAATATTTGTTTTAGAAATGTTTTAGCTATTTGTTTTACAAGTCAAACCCACTTTGTGTAACATTTGAATATGACATAGAACAAAACAAAGAGGAGCATAGACGGTTTTTGTGTTTTAACATAGTTTCCTGTTGCAAGTTAATCTTTGCAAACGCAGGAAGAAACATTCTTGCTTCCAAAGGTTTGTAAAGTTAGATAAAGAATATGAATATGAGTTCTATTAATATATCCCTGCATGTCATTTTGTGATGTTTAAGTAACTTTAAACTGACATTCTCTCAAAAGCAGTCGGGTTGGACCATGTGGCTTCAATGGTCAGTGAAAGAAACTGAAGAGTGCTAAAACCTGTCGTTACTTTATGCTAGAGTGTGTTTATGTGTTTTACGCACGCTGTCGAGTTCAGTAAGGTAACGTTAGTCACGCAGTCCCCACGTTCCCAGTGCAGGGAGATTCAGGCCGCCATCTTTCTGTGTTCTCTATCGCAGTAATGCTGTGTTTTCGAAGGATCCTCTCGGCCTGACGTCACACCTGTGAGCGCTGGTTTGAGGTAACGTTAAGTCATTTAGGAGTGTAAGTGCAAGCAAATGTTGCACAGTAATATATGCATGTTATATATTACTGTTAATTAATATTTGACTATTTGCTATTAGGCTAAAAAATTTAAATAAAGTGTGTGGGTAAAAACTGCAATCAGCGATTGAGAAAAGCAGGATCTGTGTTTCTATTGCAGCAGATTGGTTTCAGTCTTTTCTTTAATGAGTTGCAGATAGTGTACATTGTGTGTACCAGTATTAGTGTGTCAACAAATTAAACTGTGAAATCTCTTCACCTTTTAAAGAATGTCCAACCTTTTATTATTGTACTAAATCAATGGCTTTAATCCGATCATTCATTTAATAGAGAACATCATTTCTTTGCATTTCTAACTTTGGTGACAGCAAAGTACAGGAATCCTAAAGTGTTGAGAGAGAGTCAGAACTGTGACCACATCGCCATGAAAAGGTACCGTGAAGCAGAGAGTAGAGAAGTCTGCTGCTCCACCCTGACAGAGGACGACTCCTCCAAATCTCCACCCGTTACTTTGACAGCTGGACGCCTGAGTTTGACTTTGTCTGCATCTTGTGGACACCTGGGGGAAGTGTGACTGGTGGCGGCGGGCATGCTGGGCTGTGTGTTGGTGTGGTTTTTTTTCAAGGGCTTAGTTGGGGGTTCGCTGTCTTGTCTTGATTTAAGAGTTAGGTAAGGAGCAGGCAGACACGAGTCTGACAGGATGGGGAGTCAGTTTATGTCCTGACTGAGGAATGCAAGGTCTGCGGGTCAACTAGAAGATTTACCAGCCAAAGGGGGGTTAGAGACACACCAACACTATTCAACATACACACT